ATTTTCATACCATTATCGGTCATTTTTGATATTAGGAGTAAAACAAAATGAACAGATTTGAAGATGCAATCAACCAAAAAAAAAAAAAAAAAAAAGAAAAGAAAAAGCGCAAATATACTATCATGCTATGAATAATTGTTTGCACTTGGTAGCATGCTATTTTACCATCCGCAAACGGTACTGTACTGCACTAACCGTCCACAAATGATACATCGCCGTACTTTTACCGTCCGCACTGTATTGCGTTACCATCCGCAAACATCGTCCGTACTTTTACCGTCCGTACTACATTGCGCTACCATCCGCGTTGCACTACCGTCTATAAAAGGAAACCAATATTATGTTATTCGTCCGCAACCAGTATTGTATCGTGTTAGCGTTTTTGCAAACAGCACTGTATTGTATTACTCGTTTACAACTAGCATTATGTTGTTGTATTACTGTCTGCAGAAGACACCGTATTGTATTATTATATTAGCAACGGTAATATATTATTATATTACCGTGATCCGCAAGCGGTATGATATTGTATTGTTGGCCGCAAACGGCACCATGCTGTGCAGCCGTTCGTAAGCTGTACTATGCCGTGCCCTTCACATCATCAATTTCATATGTATTCAAGATTTTGAGAAATTTAAAGGAAGGATTAGGAAAAGGGAGAGGAAGAGGCGAGAGAGAGAGAGAGAAAGAGAGAAAGAGAAGAGAAGAAAAGATAGACAGGAACTAACAAACTGTATTACACCCAGAAATTTGATATATGAGATGATGGGGTGGTGTATGAAGACGATGGAGAGGATGATGGACAAAAAAAAAAAAAAGTAAAAAAAAATGAAAAAACTTGTTCTTCAGTTCATTTTTAAAATCGGAATGTATGTATGGGAGTAAACGAACTGTGACGTGATGTTACGTGATATGATGTAACGTGACACGACGTGTTTCTTGACTTAATCTCACGTCATTTTCATTTCCTCCTTTCAAACTCATTTTATCTCTTCAAAACTTTCACCTTTGTCTTTCTTTTTTTTTTTTTTTATCTTTATACTTACATATATAAGTGTATGTGTGTGTGTGTGTGTGTGCGTGTACCACGAGATCTAATGAGGTTGTTTGATGGATGTATGTGTGTGTGTGTGTGTGTGTGTGTGTGTGTCTGTCCGTCTGTTAGTGTATTAGAAGTGCATTACGCCTTGTATGTATGTATGTATGTATGTCACAGTTTGTAGTTATTTTCTTGTTCTTTTGAATTGAAATTCATTGTCTCTACAAACATCTATCACATCAATCATTGATGATAGCAATAAGGCGGCGATAGTGGCAATGGCAATGGCGGTAACAGAAGCAGAAGTAGAGCAGCAGCAGCAGCAGCAGCAATAGCCTATAATGTTAATGACAGACAAAGACGACGATAGCTATGACGATGACAGCTGCAATGATCATGATGACGACAACAACGACAGCGACAATGACAGCAATGAGTTCCTCAATTTAATATGTATTTCAATCATTATTTACCTTTTCTATTTTTTTTTCTTTTTGCATCATGTTCCGTTTTATTAATAAGATAAATCCCATTGAGTAGTAAAACTATTGGACGTTTGTCATGAAATTAGGTGACAGTAACTGAATATGTATCAATTATTCTGTATATTTAAATAAGTGATTCTCAATCGGTTGATTTGCAAGATCTGTGAAGTGAATAGAAAAAACAAGGCAGAAGCTATTCTTATTAATATTTGATGAATTAATGTTTTAAAAATATTGATTAAAGTTTACTTTCAAATTAACACAATTTATTATTTTTGAACATTATGATCTCAACAAATAAAAGAGCTCAAATTGGCCATTGGTCAAGAAAAGGTTGGGAACCACTAATTTAAACGATAATAATTATTATAGTCCAATCATCTAAGCTACTTTAATGGTATTAGTCCATTTTGAACTAATGGAAATAAACCGAACTCGAATCATTTAAGCATTTAAATGATAATCGAAAGATTATCGGTAATAATGGTAGCACTAATAATAGGATAATATTAGTGATAATAGTAATAGTAGTAATAATAATAGTAATAGTAATAATAATAATAATAGTAGTAGTAATAATAATAATAATAATAACAATAATAATAAT